TCATAGGGTGCTGGCAGAATTACGGGCCTCCCATTGCTGCTGCCAGGCCCGTAATCTGCCATGGGCCCCCCGTACCGACTCCTCATGCTGCTGCCAGGCCCGTAATCTGTCATGGGCCCCTGTACCGCCTCCTCATGCTGCTGCCAGGTCCAGAGTGTCTCATGGGTCCCTGTACGGCCTCCCATTGCTGCTGTCTCCATCGCCACACTCTGCCATGTGCCACTTTCAGGTCTCCTCACACTGCTGGTGGGTTCCATTTTGTCATAGGGTGCTGGCAGATTACGGGCCTCCCATTGCTGCTGCCAGGCCCGTAATCTGCCATGGGCCCCTGTACCGCCTCCTCATGCTGCTGCCAGGTCCAGAGTGTCTCATGGGTCCCTGTACGGCCTCCCATTGCTGCTGTCTCCATCGCCACACTCTGCCATGTGCCACTTTCAGGTCTCCTCACACTGCTGGTGGGTTCCATTTTGTCATAGGGTGCTGGCAGATTACGGGCCTCCCATTGCTGCTGCCAGGCCCGTAATCTGCCATGGGCCCCCGTACCGCCTCCTCATGCTGCTGCCAGGTCCAGAGTCTCTCATGGGTCCCTGTACGGCCTCCCATTGCTGCTGTCTCCATGGCCACACTCTGCCATGTGCCACTTTCAGGTCTCCTCACACTGCTGGTGGGTTCCATTTTGTCATAGGGTGCTGGCAGATTACGGGCCTCCCATTGCTGCTGCCAGGCCCGTAATCTGCCATGGGCCCCCGTACCGACTCCTCATGCTGCTGCCAGGTCCAGAGTGTCTCATGGGTCCCTGTACGGCTCCTCCCATTGCTGCTGTCTCCATCGCCACACTCTGCCATGTGCCACTTTCAGGTCTCCTCACACTGCTGGTGGGTTCCATTTTGTCATAGGGTGCTGGCAGATTACGGGCCTCCCATTGCTGCTGCCAGGCCCGTAATCTGCCATGGGCCCCCGTACCGCCTCCTCCTCATGCTGCTGCCAGGTCCAGAGTGTCTCATGGGTCCCTGTACGGCCTCCCATTGCTGCTGTCTCCATCGCCACACTCTGCCATGTGCCACTTTCAGGTCTCCTCACACTGCTGGTGGGTTCCATTTTTCATAGGGTGCTGGCAGATTACGGGCCTCCCATTGCTGCTGCCAGGCCCGTAATTGCCATGGGCCCCCGTACCGACTCCTCATGCTGCTGCCAGGCCCGTAATCTGTCATGGGCTCCTGTACCGCCTCCTCATGCTGCTGCCAGGTCCAGAGTGTCTCATGGGTTCCCTGTACGGCCTCTCATTGCTGCTGTCTCCATCGCCACACTCTGCCATGTGCCACTTTCAGGTCTCCTCACACTGCTGGTGGGTTCCATTTTGTCATAGGGTGCTGGCAGATTACGGGCCTCCCATTGCTGCTGCCAGGCCCGTAATCTGCCATGGGCCCCCGTACCGCCTCCTCATGCTGCTGCCAGGTCCAGAGTGTCTCATGGGTCCCTGTACGGCCTCCCATTGCTGCTGTCTCCATCGCCACACTCTGCCATGTGCCACTTTCAGGTCTCCTCACACTGCTGGTGGGTTCCATTTTGTCATAAGGTGCTGGCAGATTACGGGCCTCCCATTGCTGCTGCCAGGCCCGTAATTGCCATGGGCCCCCGTACCGACTCCTCATGCTGCTGCTGCCAGGCCCGTAATCTGTCATGGGCCCCTGTACCGCCTCCTCATGCTGCTGCCAGGTCCAGAGTCTCTCATGGGTCCCTGTACGGCCTCCCATTGCTGCTGTCTCCATCGCCACACTCTGCCATGTGCCACTTTCAGGTCTCCTCACACTGCTGGTGGGTTCCATTTTGTCATAGGGTGCTGTCAGATTACGGGCCTCCCATTGCTGCTGCCCAGGCCCGTAATCTGCCATGGGCCCCCGTACCGCCTCCTCATGCTGCTGCCAGGTCCAGAGTGTCTCATGGGTCCCTGTACGGCCTCCCATTGCTGCTGTCTCCATCGCCACACTCTGCCATGTGCCACTTTCAGGTCTCCTCACACTGCTGGTGGGTTCCATTTTGTCATAGGGTGCTGGCAGATTACGGGCCTCCCATTGCTGCTGCCAGGCCCGTAATCTGCCATGGGCCCCCGTACCGACTCCTCATCATGCTGCTGCCAGGCCCGTTCAATCTGTCCATGGGCCCCTGTAACTGCCGCCTCCTCATGCTGCTGCCAGGTCCAGAGTGTCTCATGGGTCCCTGTACGGCCTCCCATTGCTGCTGTCTCCATCGCCACACTCTGCCATGTGCCACTTTCAGGTCTCCTCACACTGCTGGTGGGTTCCATTTTGTCATAGGGTGCTCTACGGCCTCCCATTGCTGCTGCCTCCACCGCCACACTGTGGCTCCACACTGGTTGACTGCCCAAATGAGTGAAGTGTGCGGTGATTCTAAGATCGACGGCACTCATCTGCATGTCATACTGACTGACAGTATTATTTCTCTTCCCCAGCAGACTCCAAGGTTATTTAAATTAAAGGTACAGTGTTCTGCACTAATATAAAGGCTCTCTGAAGCCTAGAAACACCCTTTTTATAAGTTAAATTCGCAGCGAATATATTCGCCTCGAATCGAATTTATTCCTCGAATTGACCGAATCAGCCGAATCAAATTTTTGAATACTTCGCTCATCTCTAGAGATGACCCACAAATGCAGGAGAGGTATCCACAAAAGTTCTTCCTGCAGCCTTCACATGGCAGTAGTAAAGATGGTACTGGTTCCTCAGCCCCCAGCTCCCACACATGCACAGCGGTCATTACACAGACCTTCTAGATGTAGCAGCGCGGGCTGAAGGAATTCCAGGGGTCTCATCACCCCACTCCTTCTTTCCAGCACCAAGCCCTCCCTGCATAAGCCAGGATGGTATTATTCCATCTATATGCAACAGGTTGTTTTGGTGAACAGTGTTCTGCAGTTTGTTAATTACTTTCTATAATATCACATCACCATTGACACAGTTTTAATAAATTAATCTGTCGGAAGGTTTTTTTTTTTTTTCTTTTTTTTATCCATCTCCGTCTTTCTTTTACTAAAGTTTGAGCTTTTTGCCTTCTCTTTTATACACATATTTATGATATATGGCAATTATCTTCTTTATACATAATACACAAGTACCTTGCTCATGATTTTTTTCTACCTGGAATGTATAGCTATATTTTTGTATATTGTTCTATTTTTACTTTTTTAATATATTGTCGTTTTTGTTATCTTATAGATGTCTTTTGCTATTTTCCTCCTATCTGCAAGTGACATCCAAGACACCTGATGGATAACGGGTTAATTAATCTAATTAATGGAGCCATATGCAGTGGGAGGAGTTTTTACAGAGATTGTCTTTGTGTCTAGTATTTAAATATGTTTGTTCTGAGTTATTTTATGACAATGAATAAGGTTTTTTGCCAAAACTCTTAAGCTACTGTAACTTGCACACTGAACCCTTTATACATAAAGTACTTTTATCAGGAGAACGAGTTGCTGGCTCTTCACCTTATACTCATAAGCCAGGATGAGACTGGACTGTAACTCGGCTGATAAAATGATAAGTCTAGGGAATCCTCAATGCCATCTTACAATGATCTGCACACCTCTATAGCCTCTTTTCCTACCTCTAATTAACCTATAATTGATACTCAACTAAAAGAGATGCTCCTATCTCTACAACAATCCCTTCATGCTGATTTCACTACTCTCACACTGAAATTTACTGCTGAAGTTTCTTCCCTGGGAGAAAAAGTGAACTTAGTAGAAAATGCTGTCAGTGACATTACCACTACAGTAAATGATTTAGTGGATGCTACTGATGACCGATTAGAGGAAAGGCAATGGCTGAGAGCCAAAATTGACGACTTGGAGGATTGCTCCAGGTGAAACAATTTAAAACTGAGAATAGTACCTGAATAAGTACAAACCCATGATTTGATGCAATATGCTAAATATCTGTTCCTTCTACTTCTTCCTGACCTCTCACCTATAGAGGTAACTATTGATCGTATAACATCACATTCCAAAACCAGCATACCTCCCTGACTCAATTCCCAAGGATGTACTCATGAGGGTGCCTTTTTACCACACCAAGGAACAAATTCTGAAAAAAAATCTAGAACCTTAGGCAAACTTTCTGAGCCATAGAAAGTATCCAGATATACGCTGACCTCTCTAAATTCACCATGGATCTTAGAAGACAACTTATGTCAGGGCTCCAGGGTATGACCAGAGGTATGTGACTGACGCAGGGAAACGCAGGCTTCAGATAAGTTATAAACAATATAATTTATTAAAGACTAACAATACAAACATAAACGCAGTGCAATACTAAAACATAACACAGTGCAAACGAACCAAACCACCCACAGATATTACATACAATGCAAGCGTCGTCAGGCAGGCCGGGTCAATAACAATCGGGCAGGTAGGTACAGGGGGGTCAGGCAGGTCACAAGCCAGGGATAAAGCAGGAGAAGTCAGCAGAGGTCCGGATCAGGCAGGGTCAGCAACGAATCAGAGACAGAGACAGGAACAGGAACAGGGATGCAGGAACAAGATACAGGGCCCAGGAAAAACACACACCAAGGCAAAGACTGCAGGTCTGGCCATCACTTAAATACACCTGCCTAAGCAGTTTCAGGTGTTTGGCTGGCTGCAGGGTTGAGTCTCTGATTGCTGGGAGCACCCGCTGGCCAGCCCTGGTACTGCAGCCCACAAGGCAGGTGAGTCCCACCATTACTGGCAAGTCCATTCCTAACAGTACCCACCCCTCAAGGAGCGGCCTCAGGACGCTCCAAACAGTCCTAGCTGGGCAAAATGTTCCACCGCCCCAGTCTGGTAACTGGCGGGATATCAAAGACTGGCACATCGGGCAGGACTCCGGGCAGCGGCACACCGGGCTGGAATCCGGGCAGCGGCACACCGGGCTGGACTCCGGGCAGTGGCACACCGGGCAGAGGCAAATGGGGCAGGACTCCGGGCAGCGGCACATCGGGCAGGACTCCGGGCAGCGGCACATCGGGCAGGACTCCGGGCAGCGGCACATCAGGGCAGGACTCCGGGCAGCGGCACATCGGGCAGGACTCCGGGCAGCGGCACATCGGGCAGCGGCACATCGGGCAGGACTCCGGGCAGAGGCACATCGGGCTGGACTCCGGGCAGAGGCACATTGGATCACCAGGCAGAGCGGCAGGCACCGGGCCACCAGGCGGGGTGGCAGGCACCGGGCCACCAGGCGGGGGACAGGCACCGGGCCCCCAGGTGGGGCGACAGGCACCGGGCCCCCAGGCGGGGCGACAGGCATCGGGACCCAAGGCGGGGCAACAGGCCCCGGGCACCCAGGCGGAGCAGCAGGCACCGGGCCCCCAGGCGGGGCGACAGGCATCGGGCCCCCAGGCGGGGGCGACGGGCATCGAGCCCCCAGGCGGAGCGGCGGGCGCCGGACCCCCAGGCGGAGCGACAGGTCTCGGGCCCCCAGGCGGAGCGGCGGGCGCCAGACCCCCAGGCGGAGCGACAGGTCTCGGGTCCCCAGGCGGAGCGGCGGGCGCCGGACCCCCAGACGGAGCGACAGGTCTCGGGCCCCCAGGCAGAGCGACAGGTCTAGGCCCCCAGGCGGAGCGGCGGGCGCCGGACCCCCAGGCAGAGCGACAGGTACCGAGTCACCAGGCATGACAGTGGGCTCCGAGTCAACTGGCATGACCGCTGGCACTGGGTCAGACATTGGATCGTCTGGCTGGACAGCGGGCATCGGGTCACCAGGCATCAGGTCATTTGGCTCGACAGCAGGGCACCGCGTCATCTGGCAAGGAAGTGGGGCACCAAGTCACCAGGCACGACAGTGGGCTCTGAGTCAATTGGCACGACAGCGGGCACCGGGTCATCAGGTACCAGATCGTCTGACTCGACAGCAGGCACCGGGTCATCTGGCGCTGGATCGTCTGGCTCGACAGCGGGCATCGGATCACCAGGCATGACCGCGGGCACTGGGTCATCAGGCATTGGATTGTCTGGCTCGACAGCGGGCATCGGGTCACCAGGTATGACAGCGGGCACTGGGTCACCAGGCATCAGGTCACTTGGCTCGCCAGCGGGCACCGCGTCATCTGGCAAGGCAGTGGGCACCGATTCACCAGGCACGACAGTGGGCTCTGAGTCAATTGGCACGACAGCGGGCACCGGGTCATCAGGTACCGGATCGTCTGGCTCGACAGCAGGCACCGGGTCATCTGGCGCTGGATCGTCTGGCTCGACAGCGGGCATCGGGTCACCAGGCATGACAGCGGGCACTGGGTCATCAGGCATTGGATCGTCTGGCAAAACAGCGGGCATCGGGTCCTTAGGTACCGGATCGTCTGGATCAACAGCGGGCACCGGGTCATCTGGCGCTGGATCGTCTGTCTGCGGGCATTGGGTCACCAGCATGACAGCGGGCACTGGGACATCAGGTACCGGATCGTCGCGGGCACCAGGCGCATGATCGTCTGGCTTGACACGGGCATGGGTCACCAGGCATGATAGCGGGCACTGGGTCATCAGGCATTGGATCGTCTGGCTCGACAGCGGCATCGGGTCACCAGGTATGACAGCGGGCACTGGGTCATCAGGCATTGGATCATCTGGCTCGACAGCAGGCATCAGGTCACCAGGTATGACCGCGGGCACTGGGTCATCAGGCATTGGATCGTCTGGCTCGACAGCGGGCATCGGGTCACCAGGCATGACAGTGGGCGCCGGGTCATCAGGTACCGGATCGTCTGGCTCGACAGCGGGCACTGGGTTGGAGAATGGTCGGGGTCACAAGCCAGGGATAAAGCAGGAGAAGTCAGCAGAGGTCCGGATCAGGCAGGGTCAGCAACGAATCAGACAGAGACAGGAACATGAACAGGGATGCAGGAACAAGATACAGGGCCCAGGAAAAACACACACCAAGGCAAAGACTGCAGGTCTGGCCATCACTTAAATACACCTGCCTAAGCAGTTTCAGGTGTTTGGCTGGCTGCAGGGTTGAGTCTCTGATTGCTGGGAGCACCCGCTGGCCAGCCCTGGTACTGCAGCCCACAAGGCAGGTGAGTCCCACCATTACTGGCAAGTCCATTCCTAACAACTTAATACCATAACAAAAACACTACACATTAGCAATATTGGCTACAAATGGGCTACCCTACAAAGTTGACTGTGGAATGGAATGGCATAATGCATGCCATTACGCCACTAGAGGTCAACCTGTCCCTACTGAGTGAATGGGGCATCATCCCGGAACCCTCGCCTCCTACTGGAGCTTGCAAATCTCGGAGAGTTGTACCTCCTCTGTGGAACATCCAAACCATAAATTGTTACATAGTCTAGCTGAAAAAAGACAAGTCCATCCAGTTCAATCATAAAAACAAACAAAAGTTATAATCCTACACCCACAGTTGATCCAGAGGAAGGCAAAAAAACCAGCAAAGCATGATCCAATTTGCTCTTGCAGGGGAAACATTCCTTCCTGAGCCCCCGATAGGCAATTGGATATTCCCTGGATCAACTTTACCTATTAATGTTAGTATCCAGTTATATGCTGTGTATCTAGGCCTTTTTTAAAGCAATCCAGTGAACTGTCCAGAAGCAACTCTTGAGGCAGTCTATTCCACATTTTCACAGTTCTCACTGTGAAGAAACCTTTCCGTGTTTGGAGATGAAATTTCTTTTCCTCCAGATGTGCCCCCTTGTCCTCTGTGATGACCTCAAAGTGAATAACTCTACATTGAGTTCACTATATGAACCACTGATGTATTTATACATGTTGATCATATCTCCCCTTAATCTCCTCTTCTCAAAAGAGAATACATTCAGTTCCTCTAATCTTTCCTCATAGCTGAGCTCCTCCATGCCTCTTATCAGTTTGGTTGCCCTTCTCTGTACTTTCTCCAGTTCCCCAATGTTCTTTTTGTGAATTGGTGCCCAAAATTGAACTGCATATTCCAGATGAGGTTTTACTAATGATTTGTACAGGGGTAAAATGATATATCTCTATCTGGAGTCTATACCTCTTTTAATATAAGAGAGGATTTTGCTCGCTTTAGAAACCACAGCTTGGCATTGCATGCCATTATTAAGCTTTTGATCTACCAGAACTCCCAAATCCTTCTCCACCATTGATTCCCCCAGTTGTACTCCCTTAGTATGTATGATGGATGCATATTCCTAGCCCCCAAGTGCAAAACCTTACATTTATCAACATTAAACCTCATTTGCCACATAGTTACCCAATTAAAAAGTGCATTGAGGTCGACTTGTAAATTGGATACATCCTATAAGGATGTTATTCCACTGCACAGCTTGGTGTCATCTTCAAAGACTGAAATGGTATTTTTAATCCCAGACCCTATATCGTTTATAAATATATTAAAAAGTAAGCGTCCCAACAATGAACTTTGGTGTAGACCACTAACAACCCTAGACCATTCAGAGTATGGATTATTAACCACTACTCTCTGAATACGATCTTTAGACAATTTTCTATCCATTTACATACAGATTTTTCCAAGCCTGTAGACTTTACCTTAGCCGTGTGTGGGGGAACGGTGTCAAACGCTTTTGCATATCCAAGTTCAAACCTAAACTTTGGTGAGCCCTTTTCAAATCATTCATAAAAGTTCACAGCAAGATACCCCCCCCCCCCCTTCAGTTTCTCTGCAGCAGCAGCACTAATTCCATTTTGACTTTTACCCCCTCTTGCAATGCAGCCTTTGTCTCATAGTTAGAGCTGCTCATTTCTACTTCTTTATATTTGGGGAATGATTTAGCTCAGAGGAAATGCATTTTTAAGTGAGTATAGGACAGACAGGAAATAAAATATAGGGCCTGGTAGCCCACTTTTATTAAACGGCAACTAAAATGTCCTTTTGCACATGGTTTCCCACGCAGGGAGTTTCAACTTCACTCAAAATAATACATAGTGAAAATGCCAAGCCACCTGGCTCTTGGGTTAGCAGTACCTCTGCTTGGCTTGGTCTCCCAGACCACTGACTATTCAGGCTCACTCAGCCTAGGTGACAGCTCCTTGCTGTTCAGGCCTCACATGGCCTCTTGACAGAGTTACCCTTGTACCTTAGCTTGATTCCTCCAGAGACTCACGGAGTCCCTCCTGCCTCTTGGACTCACTGACTCTTCTTACTGGCCAGACTTTCCACTCCTTGGGCCCAGAATCCTTCTTACAAGGGTTGTAGTCTCCACTAGGCAATTCCAGCTGTCCTGACAGGGCTCTGTCTTCAGACTTGCAGCAATAGCCACTACTATTCCACCTCTACATCTAACTGCTCTCACAAGCCCATCATCATAAGGGCTGTGTTCACCTGGGCACACACCCTGCTGGTTGTTCACAACATCTGGACACAGGGTTGGAGATTCCATCCCGCCAAGACTCTTCGGAATCTCCAAACTACAGAGCCCCATCCAGCAATACCTAGATCAAGAGAATACTGCACAAGCAGTTTTCTCCACTCCAAATATATGCTCTGTAGCATTGCACTAAGCATACATGAAAAAACTGTGTCTTTTTCCTGGCCATTTTCATAGTCACAGAGCCTCACACTGTCACAGTTTGTTTTACAGTTACCTCTTTTTGCTTCACTTATATGCACTCCAAGGCACCTAGTCTCTCCGGCAACAGTGTAATGACCTCAACTGATCCACCTGGGACAGAGATTGACCTTCTGTTCATTCTTTCCACAACCAAATTACCATAAGTCCAAACCTAAACTTTGGTGAGTTCACAACAAGATATTACCCCCTTCAGTTGCTCTGCGGCATTAATTCCACTTGGACTTTTACCCCCATCTCTTGCAATGCAGCTTTTGTCTCATAGTTACAGCTCCTCAGTTCTACTTCTTTATGCTTGTTTTACAGTTACCTCTTTTCTCTTCACGTATATGCACTCCAAGGCACCTAGTCTCTGCGGCAACAGTGGAATGACCTCAACTGATCCACCTGGGACAGAGATCGACCTTCTCTTCATTCTTCGCACAACCAAATCACCTGACAACATCTTCTGTTATCTAACTGTAAGTACATCATCCACCCAGCGCATCAACACCTCTTCATGGGTATTAAATACTATCCCTAAACACCAATGGCCTGAACCACACGGCCAAAAGAGCTTCCCTATGGCTGACGGCACAACGAATGTGACATCCTGTGTATCCAGGCAACACATTTCAAAGCTACTGCAGTACTCACTTGTATGCACAAAGACTTTCCATACACACACACATACGTATATATATATATATATATATACAGTATATATCATGTAGGCTGGAGAAAATCCATTGCCTTTCATCTCCATGACCAAATTATTAATCCCAATGTCAGCTACACCATTCTCCTAAGCATGCTTGAAAATGTTACTTACACCCTAGTATGCAAATATGCCCCACACACCCAACAAATTTCCTTCCTGAACTCAGATCCTTACTACTTGACTCCTATGAAAAAACTCACTGTAGGCTTAAAGCTACAACTTACT